CTGAAGGAGATCCCGGAGGGCTCTGATGAGGAAAAGACGACGGCGCCTTACATCGAGCAGGCGCGGAAGAAGTTGGAAGAGCTGCTGGCGCACATCACCTCCAAGGTCACCAACCAGCACGAGATCTGGGCCACCTACGCCAAATACCATGAGGGCTTCGGCAACAAAGAAAAGGTGCGCTTCAACGGCGTTTCCGCATCGTTGCAGTGACGTGCGTGTGCATGTAGGACTGATCACAACGGATTTGTGGGTCATCAGGCGCTGGACGCACGTCTCAAACAGATGCGCTCCGCATCTCCCGTCGACTGGCAAAACGACGAGAAGAAGTTCAAGACGGTCGCCGAGGTGTCTCTGTTGCTGGTCGATACCTACCTCATGCAGGACGAGGAGGACCTCAAGAAGAGCCTCTTCTCCGCCAAGCTGCACCTCCGTGGAGTGTTGAAGAAGGCCGAGGTGCGCACACAATCCCCCCTTCTCGCCCTCAAAGAGCACGGCGCACCGCGCGTCCCACACATCGAGTGCTAACTTGCCGCGCGTCTCGCAGCCCAACTTCAAGGGAACGGAACACTACGCCAAGCTCGAGGAGAAGCTCGCCATCGTCCTCGACAAGGAGCAGGCGTTCAAATAACTTCGTGGCCGTTGACAACAAACCAATCCGGCCCGAAGCCAGCTGAACCCACTCGTGCCTTCTCTGGTTGGAGCTTGCGACTCAGATGGATTTGTTTGGGTGCCCCGTCGGCATTCTGAAATATGCGAAATATGCGGGCATTTTCTTCGCGAATTTCTTGCTTAGGCACGCTGCGTTGCGGGTTCGGCGGTCCGAGTCGATCCACTCCCGAACCGAAGCATCGAAGGTGCAGGTGGACTCTTCCAGAAGAAGAGAAGCCGAAGGACATCCAAGAGCGAGGATAGAGAGAGATACAGATGATGCAAACCGAGGAGACGGTGCAGGGGTCTCCTGCGTCGAATGGAAAGGCGGATTCGATAGATGCGAGCAGTGGTGTAACGACATCGGCTGCCCCCTCATTGGGCACGAGTGGGGAGCACTACGCCCAGCAGACGTCTGAGCACAGGCGGCTCAGGGTCAAAAGGCGGCAGCGATGGCCCCACCGGTCAGACCATCGTCCATGTTCATCAACAAGGCGCTTCAGTCCATC